AGCGTTACAAGCGTTCCACTCAAATTGCTAAATCGATACCTATACTTTTCCTTCCTCCCAAGAAGCTCGGAACACCGACGAAAGTGTGAACGGGACCTTGATTTCTTTTTCAGACGGGTGATTTCCCTCCATCCTCGCTATTTGACCAATTAGTGAGTTTTGGGGAGCGGTTCCTGTCAAACCGCTCCCCAAAACTCACTAATTGGTCAAATAGCGAGGATGGAGGGGAGGGAATCCGTAGTTTTCAAAAATTCATGACGAAGAAAATATATTTTGTTGTGGTTTCTATCAAAGCGAGGATCGCTCTTGGCCGAAGTGTCCTCGTCCATTTGAACAGGACGAAAAAACAGTTTGTTTCTACTGTCCTTCCTCCTGTGCAAGTTTCTGCTTCATTTTTCTCGAACATAGTTCCTGTGGGTGGATTTGGCCAGTAATTTGGTGGGAGGTTTGACTAATTGAACTCGAATATCTCATCTACTTGGCGCAACGACGCCGGCGCGTCGGACCTAATTCGGCACTGATGCTCCAGAAGCGGGGACGCTTGAACGTTTTCATGCTGAACGTACTTGATTCAAGTAGCCAGTTTACTTACCCTCCCCCTCTGTTCCCAGGGGCAAGCTTCCAGAGAAATTGGTGACTTGAGGTGTTTTTCTTTAATACAGCGTGGCTTTTTCGTCAAGCAGATGTGATATTTGTGCTGAGGAGCTGAAGTTTCCTTTGGGAAGGAAGCTGCAGCCAAATGTACCTCAGGAGAAATATTTCGATGAAATTCTAGGTTGAATTTCGAAAAGAGCGGCAACAAAAGTTTCATATTTTGCATCAGTGTTTTGGGCTCCTAGTAAAGCATAGGTATTGATCTAGCGTACTGCAGCTTTGAGCGACTAGGAAAGTGTATATATCGATTTAGCGTTTTGAGCGTGCGCCATCGTTTTAGCGCCTGCGTGCGAAAACTCCCTGGGCTACATTATAATAACGCTAGATCCGATACCTAATACTCCTAGTCGCTCAAAACCTGGCGCAGACTGTGAACCACTTCTGGACCCATTGTTCATGCATTATTGCGTGTCACATGCTCAAATCCGAGCCTTCACGATCATACATATGGCACCGTCGGATGTGGCTGGTGGCTCTTTTGCTGACCGTACCGGAACCCAATCACCCACAAGCGTGTCCGTGTGCTCCTCAAGAAATTTTTTCCCGGACATGCGCTTGAAAAATCCATCTTTTGTTACGCAGAAGAATGATATGAACAATGGCGAAAGAAAGTATTTACCATAAAAAGTTTCTTGAATTTTTCTGTGATCTTTTGATTCCGAGAGGCCAGACGAAGCCATTGATTAATCTGGAGTGATTGATATCTTCAATTTGACTGGTATGTAACATATTTGTTGTTAATTATTGTTTAGATGCTGACGTTGTTGAAAATTACACGAATTTTGAAAGTCATGTTGTAAAATTTTTTGATCTCAACCCTTTGCCTGACTTCTCTTTGTACAGTATGTACAGAATTACAAGTGTAAATGGTTCCTTACTCGTCCCGCAATTGATATGGTATTGCAACTGGGCCTTATTTGAAAACGCTTTCTTATTTTCCTATACTGCAACCATATAATTTTTAATTCTCTTTAACGTTTTAGTGTGGTGATAAGAATGATCTCCTGCCTCATAAATGTAAGTCTGGAACTATATTGAGCGTAACCAAGGTAAGTCAACATTTATAACTTCGGTAATGCTGTCCGTTTTGTTCGTGTTGCTGAGGAAAACCGTCCTGTTCCACGAACCGAGCTGTCACTGCAACTGTTCATGACTCTTGACGCGGGTCCATTTGAGGTGGGGGGGGGTGGCTCATTTAGCGCTGAAAAGTGAGTGATTCTGATCTAGGGATTGTTGACCAAGCTAGGTGAGAGAAGCTCCGTCCTAGGACCTTTTCCCTTGTGAGGAAGGGGTTGTGGTTTCGAATGTCTTAGCCATTTTACCAAATTAACTCTTTTTTTATATTGCTGTGTTTCAGATGCTACTATTTATGTCGGAGGCCTGGACGAGAAAGTTACGGAGAATGTACTGTGGGAGCTGATGGTTCAGGCTGGTCCTGTTACGAGTGTAAATATGCCAAAGGATCGTGTGACAGCGAATCATCAAGGGTTTGTACTAGTTTCTTCTCTGGTCACCGTTTGAGTGTTTTATACTTTTTTCCATGCATGCAAGGATTTTTCCCTGAAACTAACGGTTTTCCTTTCTCGTATCGTTCTAGTACGGTGGAGTGGGGCTGCATCTGGTGTCCTGCCATTAGTGCCAGGCTTAATTGGTTATAAGTGAGGTTGTTGCAATATAGTAAATGTTGTACTAATTTCTGTGGATCGCTACAGTGAATCTCACACCAGCCTCTCGTCGCCTGTGAAGTGAAAAGCTAAAAACAGCCAAAGGTCAAAACTGAATCCTTGTGGTGTATAGCTAGACGTCGCTCTGATTCTGGCCCTCCCCTTGACATCGACTTTTCTTAGTTTCTCACGGAATCGCAGTTCTCTGAAAATTTGCTTTTCTGAGCAGGATACAACATTAGTAATAGGAGTCGCGCTGTCACTACGGCCCCAGAGAAATCCTCTGAAAGGCCCATCCCACGACCAACATACCACGTTCCCAAACTCATCAACTTCTACCGAATGTCTGAAAATAGGGTAATTCGATACGGGTCGCACAAAAGCTTTGGCACCGCAGACTAAGGAGGCAGATATAGCGCGCACAAAACAAAGAGTTAACGATCGGAAAATTTTTCCTCGCGGCTTAAAAAAACTTCTCGCCTTCAAACCCCTCCACAGCAACCGCTGGCTCTCTAATGGTTCTTTTTTTGAATACTGG